GTAGCACAAGGGCCAAAGGAAAGTAGGTGGAAACATTTATTGTAATTACGGCAAGAATGACGGAGAGGAATGACAACAGAGAAAAAGGGACGGAACATAAATTCCAATAGGATTAATGAGGGCAGCCGACTCGACCTCGCCAGTGATAAGTTCATGGGGCAAGAGAATACCATGGCATGTCCTAGGGCTTTCATGAGAGTGGATGTTAATAGAACGCAGCTGACTCTCATAAGAGAGAAGATGTCAAGAAGGGTGCCGATTAAGTCCACGTAGGGAATAGGGATTAGGTGCGAAGAGTGTTAAAAACTTAAAAATTGAATGTGTGAGTGCGTTCAGAACCGAAAAGCACAAATGTCTGGTCGTCTTTCATAGCCAAAACCGTCCGCTGTCTCATTTTCTTCGATGCCTTGGTGGTTGGCAACCCAATAGATCCGCACTGATTTTGTCGTGCTTACATTGTCTAGTGCTTCCCTGCTCGCCAAGATACTTCTGGGACTGACAGCGGACGACAATATGGATCTTGTCGCCATTTGGCTGCCGAAGAATAGGCTGACCATATCAAGTGCTCCTGCCACCCGCGACCACCCAGTCGCAGTCGGAAATGGTCATGAAAAAGTGCAAACATTTAACGTTTACGTTCAACTCTTCCTAAGCTGACGAAGTTCGTACCTTGACGTCCGCTATGGAAGAAATATCACTTTTCGAAGCACATCGAATCTAAGAAAATACACCTAGAGCTAAAAGCTTATGGGCTCCATTCAATTATTAACGCACGATTTAGCGATCTTGAACTACAAGGTCCTACCCTACAGCTCCACTTGAAAACCAATAAAGACTGTGGCACCCAAAGAAGCACGCGAGCAGATGGAACATTGGAATCATACAGCAATGTAAGATCCTGAGAAATATCATTGGGTCAAAATGGTGCGGTCTAGAGGAAAACATTCTCAGAGATGTATAAGTTCTACCGTAAAAGTTGAGATAGCACCACTACCACATGAAGCTATCATTATCGCAACGATTTCCAGCTCAGCAAATCACCATTAGAGCTCTGGAACTTTTAAGCCCTCATTTTTAGCTAAGACATTATTATTTGATTTTTGAATTTTATTTGTTAGCCTTCTACTACAGAAGATCCAATAAATAAAAGCCCCGTTCATGATCACCTTTATTTCCCGTTTAACCTTTTCGATCCATTCAGCTGATGTGTTGCTAATTATGGTCTCATTCTGCCGCCGGTATATGTATGTAGGAGGATGTATGCATTGCTTTCCTTCCAGTTCATCTCAGCGACTTTTACCAAGCTTATAGTCATAGATAAATCAGTGTTTTAAAATCGGATAGCTTTGTAAAATATGTACACGCGTAGCTACATATATCTAGCTACCATAGAAAAGATAGAAAACGGGATTTTTATTCGGCAGTGAAAGTTTTAAAATTTGTACACATGGTGGGTGGTAGCATACAAGTAACTTTCATATATTTATGTGCCTATGTTCGTAACATTGCAAACCACCCTCTTCGAGTGAAAGAGCATGCTCTTAGTAGGAGAGAAAATCAGAATGTTTCGCAGAATAAGTTGACCGTTGTATACTTTTTTATTTTAGTATAAAATAAAATAAAGCACAAAAGTATTATACGTGCATTTTAAATGTGTAATTATAATAGAATCCCTATAGATCAAATTAAAAACACGGTAAAAAAAGAAAACAATTTGGCACCCCTATTTCGATGTCTAATACCAGTTTACATGTCTGTATGGATGTACATATGTGCAAATAAATTACGGTTACTTATAATTCCACGCAATCACTGGTCAACTATATTTTAATTTTTCCAACACTTGATACACCGTTATTTAGGCCATTCATCAATTAGGGATACAAAAATAAGTCAATCTGAGTGTGTTAATCACATGTAAATATGTATTTTACTAAAACGTACGCGTATGTAAATACATAAGTGTACAAGGATACAATTATTGTGATGATGATGACAACGAAAAGGTCATCACATTAAAAAATGGACGAAAGGAAATGATGTAAATTCAACCTAAAAGTTTACACTATTAAAGCATATTTACATAATATATGTATATTCCAATATTTATCAGTGCATAGCTAAAAAATTACAATTTATTTGTATGGTTCATTAAAGAATACATTTTTAACTCGTAAAGTTCCGGATATTAAAGTGATTTTCGTCTTCCTAAAAATATGTATACTTTAAAATTTCGTACTCGTCTCTATGGTTAACGGTGTTTGTGCAGTGTTTTACGCGAATGTCGCCTAGAGTACTTCAACTTGGACTTTATTACACATACATATATACATATGTATGTAGATCGTATAAATACATTAAAAGTAAGTACAGTGTGTAATTACGCGAAATATATATACCATTGCATTAAGTTAAATTTACTCAAAAGGTGAACGGCGCCAAGTAATTTTTTAGTAATATATGCAGATGTACTACATACATGTGTAAATATGTATGCACACCTTATTTGTCAGGTATATATGTAGAAGTATCACGTCATTTGAGGACGGATTTAAAAATATTAGTCCTTGTTTTGTTCCAATCTAAGGCCACTGGACTAATATCCACTCCTCCCGTTTCCTTGTTCTGTTTTGTTATCTTCTAGCTCATTTGCTTTGCCTTTGCAGCTAATCAAAATCATTGGAAAATCATTGGAAATCCTTTTTGTAAACAAATGCAGAATATTCCACGCACAATGGGCCTTAGCCGAAATTAGTTGGCCAAAACCAAAACGTGAATATATATGAAAATTATCTAGTAATTTCAAAAAGACAATTTTAAAGGAAATCGGATTAGTTTTCGAGTTATGAAACATCAAAGTTTTTATGCACATACTGCGTCTCTTAGCCTGCGACAGCCCTTTTTGCCCATTTCCGCGCGAGGTTCCACGGTGCCCGATGCCACGGCAACCCCCGTGTCACTTGCTAATTAACTAAGCAAAATGTGAGATACGTTTTGATCTGTGAGATTTGTTTGTATCTATGAGATTAGTGTGCATCTTCTTGAAATTGATTTTTTCTATTTTTACTAAGCCATTTCGACCAGTGTGCGCTGGCTAATAGGCCCTAACACTCACAACGTCAGCCCGGCTTACCAGAACCTCAGTCGATCTCTCAATAAGTGGTGAGAGTCGCGAACGATTCCTCACAAAACCAAACCAAAATTTAACATGTGTTGTATCTAAACGGCCATAAAATAGTTCTGAATTTGTTTGAAAAATGTGGTATAGCTAATTTACAAATACAAAAACCTTCGCAATGTAATAAATATGGCTTCCATACAAGGAAACTTTAAAATGATTTCATAAAACGATTACTATTTATTTTTTACTAATCACTCAATTTTTTTATTATTCCTTTTAGGATGAATTCTACAACTGTATCATGATGGTTTAGATTTCGCGGATATTTCTTTGAAAGCAATAAACATGAAGGGATTCCTGGAAAAATATACTCAAAATCACAGTTAACACAGGCAAGAAACTTTTTGTTAAGTTGATCGAATTCTAATTAAATTTTTAAATATCCAAAAGTGGAGTCTCCCATGTTCCAAAGGGAGGAGATTCCTCTATTTTTTTTACAAATACTTATTTTTTTTAAAGCTCTGTACTTCCTTGCCCTATTTGAACTCGGGTCGGTCGACCTTTGCAAACATCCCAATATTGTGTCCACCCTCTCTACATCTGCGGCAAGCTCTCATTATAGTTCAACTTGCTTCTCCACATCTTCTAAAGAATTATCTCTGCCCTCCGTTTTAACCAAGAGGATTGGAACATTGTACGTTCACAGATAGCACAATGTGCTTTACGGACTCCGATTGTTCCCCATCCGTATGTCTCGGTACAGACCACAGTGCGTACATCGGGCACGTCACGGTAGACTGCAGAGATTGTGTTCGAAATTGGCAAGCTAAAGTTAGGTCGATCGACGTTTGTGAGAGAACACACAACTGTACTCGAACGCGTTCAGAGATCTAGTGGGTCTAGGGGGCCTTCGGAATATTGCCTGCCTCACGGTAGGTCGCAGAAAGCGCACCTCGACTATTGGTCTGTGATTGTGTGCGTGTTCTGGGTAGGAACCATGGAGCACAGGAGTTTTGGGAGGTGCGGTTCACTGCTTTTACTCTATGAGAAAATGCCCGGTTGCCCGGTCTCGTCCCGACTGTCCTGCGTCCGCCCTCGAGCCTTGGCTGAGATTTCGGGCAGGTTCCGTAATTTCGCAATAGAAATTCTCTCCGAGTGTTTTCACCTTTAGTTGGCGGTGCACACGGACGGGAACTACCTCCATTGTATACTCGACCATTTAGACCATCAGTTCATTACCTGGATCTCTCCCACCAGTCGTTAGGGTAGCGTCCGTCCCAGTGGTGTGCATGTGGACGGTGTGGCACCCGACGGCAGAGTCGTTTATCTCTGAGGCATCTCCTTCATTCGCTGAAGTCGTACCACAAGCTTCTTTGAACAGGGACAGCTTCCCGACGCTGTGCCGTTTCTGGACCCAGCCATTCTCTTCTCTGTAGGTTACAGTGCCGGCTTTGATAGGCGCTGCACCTTGGCCGTTGGCCAAGCCGTTTCACCCGGCTTTCTGCATTGAGATCTGTGATTCGCTCGCTGTTTCAATTATAATTTGTAAAATATTTAACGATTTATTTAAAGGTTAATAAATTTATTTGCTTTAACTGTTTAAGCTATATTAGACTATCCAAAGAAATAACACATGCATATGTCATTTTTTAATATCCTTTATACTTTTCCTTTGTCTTTCAGTAATTTGTTCTGCCCATTCGTGTTCAAACAAATGGTGGTGACAAAAACCTTTTATTAATGGCAATTGTAAATATAGACAACTAAGTAGTAAGTCGTTGAATAATATAAACTTTCGGGTTGTATATGTCGTAATTAACAGATCTGTATTTCTGAAGTCTTCCCTGCCCAAAATCGCGTTTCTAAAACACCGTCATTCAAGATCTGACTTTACATTTTAAAAATGCACACAAATGTTAGTGCAGATCGTGGTGGATCATGGAGATTACCACCAGATGAAACATTGCAGGTGCAAGACCCGAAGCAGAAAGATCAAGACATTGATCTCGATGAAGGACATAACTGGCGAAGTATAATCTTTTCATTGCTCGTGATTAGTTTTGTAATAGCTGGTATTATTACTGCAATATATTTATTGGGGTACGTTTATTCATATTTATTTGTCATTAGAACTACGTATCAATCTATTTCGACTGGTTTTTGTTTTTGTTTTATTAGATATGTGGATGAGCTTTTATATTGGTCAGGCCGCAGAATGATTTTAGATGAATACTTACAAGGAGAATTGACACCAACTAGATTACAGCCGTCATGGGTAACACCTCAAAAGTATGTATTTCAAGCTGACGACGGAGGGCTTGCCATTTTGGATACAGCAACGAACTTAATAAACATCTTAGTAACAAATCACACTCTTCGTCAATTGAATGTACGTGGATATCAGTGCTCACATGACCTTAAATATGTGTTATTTAAGCATAATGTAAAGAAAGTAAGCAATTCAATTCAAATTATAGTAACGGCAGGATAATAATTAAATACAAATTGATTTTAGACTTTTCAGAAGTCGTTTACTGCATTTTACACAATTTATGATGTAGAAAATGATCACCATATGCCTGTCAAATTAAAAGGCTCATTGAAGGTGCAAAGAACGCGACTTCAATATGCAGCATGGCTCGGTAACACGACTACAATAATATTTGTAGCAGACAATGATATATTCTTACGACAATCGCCTTTAACTGAAGAGGACATTAGGATAACGACTTCAGGATGTGAAAATAATATCTATAATGGTGTTCCTGATTGGCTTTACCAAGGTAATTATTGAGCACTTTTTAGTGGATAATTCAGTGACGGGGTATCCGTTTAAAGAACGTTTAAAGTACCTACATTTTGTATGGGCAAAATAGAAGCTTTGAAATTGCACTAACAAATAACCATGTCCCTTATTTTTCGAAAGTCAAATTTCAACACTCATACTATACATTTTTGAAGGTTTAATATCCTATAAACTGCCAATCTTATCGAAAATTGAATAATTTATCAGATAAGATTATTTTCCTTTTAAAAATCGCGAGTAAACGTCTTTTAAAACAGCATTATATTGAAAATTTGTTGCTGTGCGAATACTTAAGACCGGCACTGGAATTAATTTATTTTACATATTTTCCGTTACAGAGGAAATATTTACAATTCCGGAAGCGATTTGGTCGTCCGCTGATGGAACCCACTTCATGTTTGCTGTATTTAATGACACACAAGTTGGAATGATGACGTATCCGTGGTTATCGTCTGGAGCCTTGTTTGCTGGATCCGGCATGTCCTCAGGCAGTTACTTTCCAGAAACCAAAAATGTTAGGTATCCAACGCCAGGCACTGTCAATCCAGAAGTTCAGTTATGGGTGGTCGACATTACCAACTTTGGTTCCATAGAAAAGGTTGAATTGAGACCCCCTCAATCTCTTAATGGACAGTAAGCTTGCAAATTTACTAATCTTCGTTCAAGCATTTACAAATATCTGTATTTATTTTAACTAAAGGGACTATTACCTAACGTCAGCGGGCTGGGTATCTGATAGCAATCGCCAGGTATCTGTGGTCTACATGGGACGATCTCAAAACTATAGTGTGATCACTACATGTTCTAAACTACAAAATTGGAGTTGTTCAGAAGTAAGTAACGTATTTTAGGTGAAAATATTATACCAAAAATTTAATGTATAACAAAAATATTAAGATTCACTCCGAACGTGCTCCCGAAGATGAATGGTTAGATATATTTCCTCACCCGATTTTTTCGTCGGATGGCAACAGCTTTTTACTACTCGCGAGTATTCAAGAGTCTGGGCATGATCATTTTACGCATATAAAACACATAACAATATCGCAGCAAAGAATTTCTGTTATCTCTCATGGTAGATATGAGGTATGGTATACAAGCCACGTACCCAAATAAACTTAGTAATTTATTCATACACTTAATTTCAGGTAATAAAAATACTGTGTTGGGATACGATAAATCATATAGTATACTATTTGGCTACTCAAGATAAGAAGCCGGGTCAAAGACATTTGTATACTGTTAAAGATCCAATACATGATGATACAAGAAAGTATGAAAGCTCCTTGTTGAAGCGTTATTTTACTTTTACAACATTTTTCTTCAACAGAACCGAGCCACAATGTATTACTTGTGATTTAGGCGAGGCCCTCTGGAGCAGTCGGTATTACTATATAAACTGTTCACATTTTGACGCCTTTATTACTCCGTCACTAGGCGTGGCAACAAGCTATGGAATTGAGTTCTACATCTTGGAATGCCAAGGTCCTGGACTGCCAGTATCGGGAGTTCACATGCATAAGACTCACAGTTTAGTCAAAATTTTATATGACACGCGGCCATTTTATACAGAGAAACTCCAAAAACTCGCGTTACCAATCCAGCGATCATTTGAAATCCCCTTGCCACATGGAAGCCGAGCTCAGGTTCAATTGCTGCTGCCACCCAGCTGGAGAGAAGAGCTACGGGACGCTGCGTTTCCTGTTGTTGTCGAAGTGTATGCAATTTGAAAATTTTATTTAAGGAAACTAATATATTCTAATCATGGATCATAATCATAATATTATTTTATTTTCGTATTAAGATTTAATTGTTTTTTCCAAATTTCTGTGAGTTTTTTGTTCGGATTTAAATTATTATAACTTCTTTAAAAAGCCAATGATGGGTGGATGAGTCTTACTTGCCGCCCCCCTAAATAAAATGTATTCTTGATCAGCGATAACATCCAAGTCGACAGAAACATGCCTGTCTATCTGTCCGTTCTTTTGTCTGAATTCATGTAACCTTTGATACAGCCGAAAATTGCAATATAATCGTCAAAAGAAGATTCTGTCGAGATCAATACGATCAGAAACACTATAATCGTACTAATTTTTTATATAGCTACCATACAGAGCGATCTGTTCAGAGAAAACACTTTTTAACTACATTAAACCATATGATAATCAGTATTAGGCCATAAGTTAAAAAAAAACGTACAAAATGGTCAAGGAATATTATCCGAAAGGAATCTTAATCTTATCTTATATCTTATTGAGACGAGCGTAAAATAATAACTTTTGTATTTTTTAGAAATGGTCGACCCGGCTCAGTATCAGTTTCCGAAAAGTTTAGAATAGATTGGGGAACATATATGTCTTCGAGAAATGATGTTATTTATGTCCGCCTAGATGTTAGAGGCGCAAAAGGGCAAAGCAAAAAATCGCTGTATCGTCATTTGGGAGGAGTCGAAGTGGTAGATCAGATCTCTGTCCTAAGGTAAGTAGCTAATGAAAACATGCTTTCCAAACTGTACATACATTTTTCTTTTCATTTTAGATACCTGCTAGATACCATTAGTTTCCTAGATGAAACCCGAGTTGGTATATGGGGCTGGGGCTATGGGGGCTATGTTACCTCAATGGTTCTTGGCACGCAGCAGGATGTGTTTAAGTGTGGAGTTTCGGTATCCCCTATTGCAGATTGGCTTTATTACAGTAAGAAAAACCAAACTACACAGGCCAAGAAACTATAAAATATTCTCCAATTAGATTCGGCGTTTACCGAGCGTGTTCTGGGACTGCCTGCTGAAAACTATAAAGGATACGTTGAAGCCGATGCAACGCAGCGTGCTCGTCTCATAAAATCAAACTCTTTTTTTTTGATTCACGGCTTGGCCGACTCAACCGCTCCATATGTGCATGGAGTGCAGCTAGCTAAATCATTAACAGACGCAAATATTCTGTATCGGTACCAGGTGAGATTTGTAACACATTACTGGTATTATACAAAAGATTGTTTTTTCCTAAAATACATATACATTTCAGACTTATGCTGATGAAGGTCACGACTTAAATGGAGTACTTGAGCATGTATATTCATCGATGGAGCATTATTTTGCAGAGTGTTTAAGCTTGGATCCGGATGACACAAAACCTGACATAGATCAAAATATGGTTCCAGCCGAGTAAAAAGTAATAATAGAATATGTAAATAAATTAGTATTAACGATTCACGGACTCATAGCTAAGGAATAGAAAACTTTGAAGGTCGTGACAATATTGAATTTAATCGGAAACGAAAATTTTGCTTTAGTCCGTCTAAAACATCTCAATAGATATTTATACATATATTCAATTAACGGCTTTTTGGTTCTTCCATTATACCATGTAAAACAAGGATGAGCCCAGAGATTTAGATATTAATATATTTTATTGGTATGTTTTAGGAAACGTTATCTTTGGACATGTTTGTAAAACTTTAACTTTACTTTTGTAACCTTTATATTGTTCTTTACACAAAGTACTCCTACATTAATAGCGCGGTTCAACTAAGAAGATATTCTCAAAAAATACCAACTTTAATGTTAGAATCGACGTTCCTGCTTGCCTGTTAATTTGTCGTTCAATTGAAAACAAAGCAGCTTAAAGACTAGTACTTAAATATTCTGGGGGTTGCGAAATCTCCATGTTTCTCTTGATATACATATTCTATATACATACGTATGTACAATGTACGCCGTGTCGAGAGAAATTTGCAGCCCCGCAGGCGTTAAGATTTAGGCGGCGCCACATTTTTTAAAAGAACATAATTCATTTGAATACATAACGAAAATGACAATGCCATTGTCACAATTAAAACTAAAATGAATTAAATTTTACAGAATTTAATTAAGCATTTTCTAGCTTTTAAAGAAGTAAAATCACCTCTCTTTTTCATATTTAGAGATTCTGTTATAGGTTAGGTTAGGTATATAGGGCTGCTAGGCCGCGGTCGAGATAACTTGGAGGCAGATCTGCCCATTGTGATGCCCATACTTGTCATGTGATGGTGTCCTCTAATCAGGGAGATTTTTTAAACCATCCCGAGGCCTCAATAAAGAGTACCAGTTTCCCCAGCGGCACGGTCGCCAGGCTGTCCAGGTCATCGAAGACGGCTCCTCCGACTATACGATGTCGCCTCCCATAAGAGCGGGTAAGCTACAGAAGAGATACGGAGGAGGTGCTGTCGGTAGTAGATGGGAATATACAATCGATTGAAAACAAACTGAGACAAATGAGTCTCACCTGCAACATCGAAGCAAACTCAAATTTTTTGTAATTTGGTGTTAAATCAAAATTATGAATAAATGCAGAATTTCAAAATGAACAAATTTTTTCAAAACTTTCGCTTAAAGCGTGAAATTTTTATTCTTGCACTCACTTGTTGACAGTTCTGGACTTAAATTGACTTAAGCAGCATACATATTTAATGTCTAAATTCATTGCATGCTTTTAAAGATTATTCTCAGGCTCCGATATAATGTTAAGACCTGTTAAAATATCAGAATACTGAGAAAAGGGTAAATACTTGCTGTATGTATGCCGCGATTTTTCAACAAGTTCCATTTTTATCATTACAAATTGTAAACATAATAATGTATGCTTTTGAATAAAATGAAAACATTTGCAAACTTTTTTGGTGTGACTTTTGACAATATCGTCTAAATTTGTTATTTTAATGTTATTGTATCTTCAACGGGATGCATAGTTTTTGTTTCACGATTTTTGTGGCTTTGTATACGTGGCGAAATTTCAATTCTTGAAGAAATTTACCAAACATCCCATTAAGGCTCATGAGGTATTCCTGGGTCCCGGAATTTTTGAAGAAGGAGATGTATGGCATGGAGATAAAAAAAGGCAAAATTGTTGTATACATTTTTTTATTTTATTCAAAAGCATACTTTATTATGTTTATTCTTCGCGATCCAAGCCGAGCGGAAAGTGCATACGAACCCGCCGTATAAGAGCGTTACAAGAGGTTCGTTGATCGCTGTACTGCCCAGCGCAACCACGAAAGACATGCATACAACTTGAGCGCAATTGCATCCGTGCTATTATAACATAAGCTATTGACCCTGTGGAAACTGTGCGTTGCCCAAACAAATACGGCAGCTGCCCTACCAAGGGCACCCTTGGTGCCAACTGTCGATATCTGTAGCGACCTCAGATAGGACCCCACCGATGGTGGATAGCCGACTGCGGGAATAGGATATTATTATAGGCGCATTAATGCGTTTGGCCGTTAAAAAGCCAGATTTCGAATTATCGGAAAAGGTCTTGATAGCCACAACAAAAATAATACCGCCATAATAACAGGCTGTTGTATTTTACACAATATATTAAATATGTAAAACAGCGCGATTAATGAAAATTGGGAGCTTGCAACAAATGAGCAGCGCGAACAGCCCGATAGCAGCAACAGATACGATCTGCAATCGCAAAATATTGTGTAGACCGTAATGAAAATTAAAAACTTATTTATTTTTATTTTTTAAAACTTCTAAGAAGTCGTTTTGGAATTTGGTTTGGGTGCTGATTAAGTCCTGCACCATCTTCTCCTGCCTAACGTAGCGCTCTTCCTTCTTTCTGTGGTGGTCCCTTTGTTCTTCGAAACGTTCCTGGGCGATCTCTGCCAGCCACGAAATGTCGTTCTTTTTTGTTTCTTTGCCGGAGGCCCATACAAGGTGCTGGAGCGACAAGATCCGTCCAGGTCCATCTCGATAATTTTCGAAAAGTACTCATCAATATCTGCAATGAACACCTTTTTTTAATTTATTGCCAAAAAAATATATATTTCATTTAACTTACTGCCGTTGTCCAATGTGCTCTGCTCCATGTTGTTTATAGGGTAGCACCCCAGAAATTAGTTCAGCTTATCGAAGTGCAGATGGGGCACCCCCACTCGGTCCAATTTTATTTTGTTCAATCCGGCAAAGTATCAAAAAAATAGTAGGTTTCACAATATTTTATTTGGCAGACTCAATAATATTTACCTGTATTTTTTGGTCATATTTTCGAGGTTTGTCCTAACCTCAATTTTCTCCTGCCATACGTCAATCAGCAGGTTCTCTAGCGCAGCACTCCATTTCATTCCATTTCAGCCAGCCGCCTGCTGTTCTCTTGTTTGCAGCATTGTGTATTAATATTATATATTATAATCAAATTAATAAAAATAAAAAAACAAATATATCTATTTAACGTACCACGGAGGAGTTTTCTGGTACTAAATCCATTTTTTTTAAATACATTTTTCGATATTTTGTTCTGCAGTCGTTCTTAGCAACGTAAGCGCCCATTCTGCGTCTCAGCGTCATTGCGTCTATTCCGCTATTGCGATATATGTATTGCGATATTTATGTATAAATGTATCACATATAGGGCTATAATATATGTATGTACTCTTTGAGTTCCAGGTAAAATATAGTTTTATAACCAACTATATAATCTAAGCAAAACAAATAAAAATAATAGTTGATGTCTCGCCAAAGATGTAATTATGCTGAAATACGGTCACACTTATGAACTGTTCCGTTATGAACTAGTTAAAAATAATCTTGTGTTGGTAGAGAGACATTCGTATGTTCATATACATACATATATGTTTGAACATATACGTAATACGTCTTTAATTAATATTTTGTGGATATAAATGTTCGAAAACTAAAATCACAAAATTTGGCTTCGTTTAAAAATATAAACTTGTGTGCATTGTAAGGTTGCATGAGATTATTTAAAAGTTTGTTTGCAAATACTGTTATACAGATATACATATTATATATATATATATACATATATCCCATGTATCTGCTGAAGGAACACAGTTATAACATTTCCAATATAATTGAAAACTTAATTTTGTATTGATTTTGGTCAATATATTTAGTGTTAAGAGAAAAAGAAACTTCTCGAAAGCCATTTATTTGTAGTCCTCGAGTACGATTATTTATATGTATGTAAATATATGTTTCTTCTATCAGTGGATTACACAAATGGTATCAACCAATAAAAATAACAAGCAAGTGAATTTATTAATCCATAACAAAGAAAACTGAAAATAATTAAACTAAAAAACTTAAAATTGATTAAAAGTTTATTTGCCCCAAGCTGCAAGGTGTTTACTAACCAACGCGTACTCAAGTATTAAGAAACAAAAACACATTTGAAGGCCAATTATAAACATAGAACATCCGGAAACCATGCTCAGAATATCCAAGTCTTCTCCTGTCTGGGGAAAACATATATTGGAGACATATCAATCAAGAAACATTAAGATACCGCAAGAGTGTATAAGATCGAACTCTGTTTAAATCGTTTTTTGAGCCAATGCTGGATTGTGTTAAATATGCTAATAAGTTATTGAAGCAGTGTTAAATAGGAGCTACAAGTTATACAATTTTCAACTGCTTGCTTGATCATCATGAAGCTACTAGAGAGTTCTCGTTTTGAGGCCATCAACAATGCACTTTCTATCCATACAAGCGGCATCACAATCTTTGGACGCATCGAAAGCTACTCCTGGTATGTACCCGCAACAATTAAGATAAACATTACTTACATATACATATGTCTATTCAGCAAAATGGTTGCAGCAGACAAGGCTTTATACAAGCGGTTTACGGCTGAGACCCATGGGCACGATCTTCAGGCTCTATCGCCTCCACAAACACTAGCCGACTTCTCACCTAATTTTTGTCGCAACAACAGCCACTCGGGCGATGAGGGCATCATTCTGTGCGACACCATTTCACGCAAGACTCTGTTTTACTTAATTGCCACTCTAAACGCTTCATTTGAGCCAGACTATGATTTTTCGGATGCGAAGGTAAGGAAATTAGAGTTATCTTGTTTATTTGATCTGTATAATGTCATATTTCTTCTATATTCTCAGTCACATGAGTTCAGCAAGGAGCCCTCTTTGCAATGGGTCATGAACTCCATTCATTCAAATCTATCAGCATTAGCGGGAGATCAGTATCAAGTCTTGCGCCAGCCGCTGTGGTCTGCCGTTGACGATGAAGTGAACTTATCAGAATGCGACATATATAGCTACAACCCAGATTTAAGTTCTGACCCATTCGGAGAACCTGGTTGTTTGTGGTCTTTCAATTATTTTTTTTATAACAAAAAGCTAAAACGTATTGTATTTTTTACAAGTCGAGCCGTAAAGTATGTTCTAATCTCTCAGGGAGCGCGAATGCAGAGAGCTGATAGCAAAATTGCCTGTTGGGCTGCAAATACTTGCAGATGTACATGACATCAGGAATTAACTGAAGATAACCATGACCAGCAGGCAGTTCGGCTTTGTAACTTATCGGCACGCGCTCCACTACGTTTATAAGACACTGTACATTTTTTATTTCAGCTCCCTTTATGCTGGAGAAACGTCGGACTTTTCAATGGAAGAGGATGTTTATTGAGGAAGTTCAGCACAATTAATGTTTCATCGCCATTTCGTCTTTTCCCAGAACATGTTCATTGATTGAATAGATCTTATATATGTATGTACAAAAAGGCAGGGAGCGTTAAAATGTTAAATTTTTGGAACATTAAGTGTACGTTATGCTGGGAGTACGTAACGCAAGCGGAATAATAATGAAAAACAAAAATGTAGAGATTTAAACACTTTATAAATATTAATAATAATACTTTATTCAAAAATAATATAGATAATTTAAAAAGTATTTTTTAGTTTCTGCGGACAAATACTTTCAAATTAATGCCGCAAATATCATTTCTGGAACAATTTCGAACTTTTGTTTTTTTTTTTGCTAGGCGTTCGCTTAGGTGTCAGCCTTTTTGTCCATCCTTGGCTTATCAAATTTTAGATTTAAAGATGCGTACTGAAAGTAAATATATTTTAACAACTCAAAGTGTGCAGTTTATTTGTTGTATTGTATTGTGTATCCACTATGTCAGTGTTTCGCCAGCTTTTTGTATTCAAGCTGCACGTATCGAGTCAACACAGTGCAGAATGAGTAAACACTTGGGAGGCGTTTGTTGCCTTGCATCTGCAATTTAATTGTTTTGTTTCTTGTGGCTATTATAATATTATAATTATAAATACGGCCATTCGATGATTCTGCGTTAGTTTTCTCGTATCTTTGCGGCGGCGTATCTCGTAACCGTGTGATAACACAGGTGTCTGCATACAAAATTTGGCTTCTCTAGCTCTAATAGTCTCCGAGATCTAGGCGCTTATGAAGACGGACAGACAGGCTGCTATACCGCCTCGGCTATTGATGCTGATCAAGACTATATATACTTTATGAGGACGGAAACACTTCCCTTCTGAGTGGTTCACGAATCCACTTCCACCACAAATATAATTTACCCCAATGCTCTGGTTGAGTACCTGGTATAAAAACCATTAAAGATTTAACTGAGAAACTTGCTCTAATTGTATGGGAAAGGAGGAGGCAGCAATCACTGTTCCGAGTACTATTCTTTGTACAAAAATATACAGCTTTTGGCAGCCTTATAGCTCCTTTAGATTCCCGCCTGGCAGTACACGTTACTTTTGTGTACGTTTTTTAAATAGGTCCTCAAAAAGTTGGCATTAAAAGTTGAATTTAAAAGCATGCCCAAACAAGACAGCTGGTTGTTTCACAGGCGAATGTTGAAAGAATAAATTGTCTATTTTAAATGTTTGTAATATCTTGTTTAGGAAGCATAATTTATGGGCTACATTATTTCTCAATAAAACCAGCAATTTTTTTTAATTTGGGAGCAGACCAACAAAAACACAAAACTAAACAAGTAAATGTATCACACGAAAATACTAAAGCCGGCTTCTACTGCTCCGTGGAATTGATTTCAATACAATACAATTTCAATTGCATTTAAAAACATTCACTTACTTCTGAGAATATCGGATAGGAACCTTTTTTCAGTAAACTCTCGCCAAAAACGTTAGAAGTTAGCATTTTTTCCACGTTTTTACAGTCCCGCACCATTGCGAAATTTCGAGACAAACTTAGCTTCTGATAGGTGATCGAGCGATTCATGACATTGTACAGTTCACAATTAGCAGGTGGGGAGCATGAGCAGTTTTTGTTTAGCCAAAATTCATCAACAGAAGAAGACGCAATTTCGAGTGTCCGCATTAACACATCTTTAGGAATTCTCTTTGGCGGAAACTTCCCGATCTGGACGTCACGCGATGGTTTACGTACTGCTTTTATCATTTTGTAAAAATGAATAAAAAAGCACAATAAAAGAATATGCAGGGCGTTAACATAGCATCGATAGGTTTGCTTGGATTTGGAACAGTGAATAGTGGAACACCGAGGTTTTTTTCGTTTCATAAGCCTATTACAGCCTATTTAAACAAGGTGCAGTTTTTGATGTGGGATAAGCAAAATATTGAGGTTTTCCTGAATATTCTGTTCGGAATATTTTTTCGGAATATTCGATTCTTCCTGCACTGCTCTCCACTTTTCTGCCCCTTCTGAGAAGTAAACGGTATTTTATGCACCAAAACGAATGAATGCAACAGAACACAAATATTTATTTGAATCCATTACCATAGCAATTCAGCTTGTGCCCTTTTTATGGCTAATTTTTTTGTATCTCCATAGAAATTTCACCAGAAAAAATTAGTGGTGAAGGGAGAGGTAGCTCAATACCTTTATATCCTTTATTGCATTAAGACTATAGGACAGAGAGATATAGTTCGCCCGCAAGGCGTTAGAACTTTGCAAAAAACTAGGTCTCCGGATGGAAGCTAATAATGACATTGCATATATAGCACATATTGTCCTCTTTCGAGCTCAGTTGCTGTTATTCGAACATATGTGATTATTTTTGCGTCTTTTTGGACCCCAGATATAAGGGATATACCGGAGGAGAAAATAGATGGTTTTCTTGCTGGGAGGAAGAATGGAATGAATGGAATGAAACGGTTTCAAGAAATAAATGCAAATGCACATCAATTCTCTAAGTCACACTCATTATAAACCTCAAGAAACTAAATTGAAATACAAAATTAATGGCGCGATGATTTACTAGCCCCGTCAAAGGCCCGAAAGCGAACGAAGAGATTATCAACTAGGAATACAAAACCCGACGCACGACTTAACCCGTTGAGGAACTTCGGCTCCAACATCGAGCAAGTACCTGATTTCAAAACAGGCCACCATACACAGTCAACTCAAGGTGGATAACGGACAGCGGGTAGAAGCCCTAACACCACTAGTGGAAGCTCATTTGCCAGGAAGCAACGAGGTTACTGATGACGAAAAGCATCAGGACCTAGCTGCTGAGGAACGTCGGCATGTCTAAGTACACTCTATTTCCCTATCCAATGAAGAACCTCGCGAGTTGTCTTCCTTCCAAAGCCAGGAAAGTGCTTTGTTAGTCCCAAGGACTACAGAACTACTAGTTACGGATGTACACGTCCGGGGCACACAGAGGCAAACCTCAGGGTTGAGTCGAGTCTTGTCGAGTCTCCCCTGTGGAATCGAACCCCCTGGTCGACGACCTTATCAAGAGATTTGAAAGGAAGCGTCCAAATATTACCAGAGTATGTGCATCCACCCTCAGCTCCATAGCGCAACGTACACTAAGACAGATATGTGAGTGGGTGGACGAAGTAGGACTCAGTATCAACGCGCACAAACCGGACCTCATTCTCATTTCCCAGAGGTAAAAGGTACCAATATAACTGCAGGAATGGCAGTACAGCACCACAGCGACAGGCAGGGACATGACCAGATCTACAGATTACATGACCCACCACTTGCCTCAATATCAAAACAATCTCATCTTTGGGACCCGCAGACTGGAAAAACGAAAGTGAACTGAGCCCCTCAACATATATACAGACGGCTACAAGATGAACGGAGTAGAAGTCGGCCTTTACTGTAGAGACCCTGAGATAAGGCTGTCATATAAGCTACCGGACCGATGTAGCATATTCCAGGCAGAAGTTTTCGCTATCAGGGAAGCGGAGGTCGCTCAACATCTTATCTTCCCTTAGATCGATATGTCGGAGCAATATCTAAGATACCAAATCTTCCGTCATATGGGCATGCTTGTTTCAGGAATCAAACTAGGGAACAGGTCATAGATCTTGGATCATTTTAGTATGTCCCCATCAAACTTTGAAACATCATTGGTTTCTCATAAATTATGAATTGGACTTCTTATGCTTGAGTCCAAAGAGTTCATAACGTCTCGTCTGGCTAGCCATCTTCAACTAAATCATCGGCATGCGCCCGTTTCGATATCTTGCTCATCGCTTAGCTCGGATAAGCCTCTGGAATTCGTGATAAAGTCTCAGGACAGTAGCTATAGGTCTTTATTCACGGCGGTTGCTACAAAGGTCACCACTAGCACCCTGAGTACCATACGCATTACGATATTAATGCAGCTGGAGGTGATTTACCGTAGAATATAACTTTGGCTGACTCTTCAATTTTATAGATCTCAGCTAATCGAGATGCTGATAGGCGCTGGTCTATTTTTGTAATTTAACGGAGTTTATCGTTAAAATCCGGCATTCAGAGGCTTGGACAAACGGCTATAGCTTAACCGTTTATCCATAGATTTTTACAAACGATACCTTAAATGAAGCATAATTACTGTATCTATACAAAAAAAATATTAAAACGAAAGACAAAATTTTTTTCTACGTTTCCCGAGCTTTCAAATTCAAAATTTTGGAAAAAATACAACAAAAAATTATCCTTTTTGAATTTGAAAGCTTAATTCTGCCCAGACAGTGAGTTGAAGCTACAAAACGTTTTGGTTATATTTATAGCTGTATCTTTCATCTTTCATATATCTTTGATCTTTCATTATCGTATGTAAGATAATTAAGTAATGGAAAAAAAGGACCCCAACCTCTGAAAAAAACTTTACAAAAAAAACTTTACCAAACGAAACGTCCAAGAAATTTAATGGAGACACGTAAAATTTGAAAATTCGACAAAATATAGCAGAGCAAATAATGCGAAGTTTTCCAAAAAATAAATACATGAATCTGATGATCATCAGATGTTCAAAGAATAGTAGTCAAAAATGGCATAAGGGATACATTGCCGTGTTCGTATACAAGGCGACAAAGGCGAGCCACCTTGAAGTAGTCAGCGATTCAATGCTTTTCGAGCTAACCGCGCTTAGGAGATCTACCCTATACGGACTTTTCCGGATTGATATGCTGAACGATTGAATGCTATGTGGAATGATGTAAAAGCTCGACAGCAGCTCGTAAAAAATCACATCTCAATAACTTTTTCCAGCCTGACGCAAGTATTCAGCCTAAAATATTGCACGTTATTGTGGAAAACTAGAAGCTGAAGGCAATAGATTAACATTATTCTCCAATAGATTTCAACATGAGAAATGTCATATCTGGGGGTGGGCTTCAAGAGGCGAAAAACTTGGAAAAGAAAACTTGTCACCGAAAAAGTGAAGAGTAAGGTCAAGGGCAAGGTCAAGAGTTCTGTTCTAAAGATAGCCGTTCTACCAGTCGACTCTGAATTGATTGAAGGCAGGACTCTCTTTTACATTCGGAGTCTGCTTTATAAATCAATATTAGCTGTTGAATTGTAAATTTACTCACGTATAGAAATCATTGCTGTGTACTATACATTGATTGCCAAGCATTTTTAGTTGTGTACGTAAAGGTGTACTTAGAGTTGAATGACAAAGAATACAATTATTCTGAGAGTACTTAAAAGTTACTCTAGGTACGCACACATTAATATATTTGTGGTACTCACATAAATTTCCAAATAAATCGATCTTTATATGGCATTTTTGGAACATATTATAAACTAATCCTTCTGATGATTGCAACCCAACTGTTCATAGTTAAAAAGCTTGTATACCCTTGAAGGAGTTGTTATAAAATTATTCAGATTTTGTAATGTATGGAAGGAAATATTTCCGATCCCAGAAAGTTCATATATTCTTGACCATGGTCGGTGACACTACACTTTACTAGCTCTATTATTTAAAAGAAGAGATAGGCTTACGGGAAAAGCATAGCTGCACCGCAGTGCAGTGGCAGAAATGCCAATTACTTTTAGATTTAATGTTACGCTTATTCAAAGGGGAAACAAATATCTTGGGTAAATGAAACGCTGAGATTGGGCAATTTGTATGCGATTTTTGTATATAGTTGGTAAAGAACTTTTATCAAGAATCAAAAGGATATAAAATAAAAAAATAAAAAATAAAACTTTTTTTTTCATTAAGGAAAAGGTATTAAAATGTGTATTTAATGCAATTATATGTGGTTCAATAATATCACCTATTATATAGTTGCCATATGAACGATCCGTTCAAAAACCAGTTAAGAAGGGAATGACATTTTAACTTAAGAGCTCAATAATTGTTTGAGTGAAGTCTGGTCATTCAATAGGAGCTGCATAGGTCGACCGCCGCATGCTTCCTCTCTCTCAGTCTTTTGGTATCGCTGGTCGTAAAAAGAAGGGGGGCGGGGTGATCTCTCCGCGATCTCTCTCAATTTTGCTTGCACTTGCCGTAAACATAAAAACGACCGCTAGTTATGTTCTGTTAATTCTTGCACTTTGCCTATCCTCTTTTCACCTTATGACAATAAATAAAGCCAGGTTCTGCGATCTGGTAGATATGGTCATTTACCTTGATTCTGCATATTCGGTTTTCTCGTATCTTCAAAACTGTAAATACCACAGATTTTCGTCCTTTGCGAGGCAGAGCGAATTTTTAAAATAAACTTGTAACAGAGTGATAACACAGAAGTCTGAATATAAATCTACCTTGGCTTTAGCTCTTATAGTCTCTGAGATCTAGGCGTTCGTCGGGACGGACAGACGTGAAAACGGACAGACTTGGCTTCTGATGCTGATCAAATATATATATATACTTTAAGAGGTAGGAAACGCTTCTTTCTGGGTGTTACACACATCGGCATCCACCACAATACTAATATATACCTAAATCATTTGAGTATCAGGTATAAATAAATAATTTCATAAGACAGATAAAAGGATTACCCGATGGATATGGACAAATTGAATTAATATTAAAAAAAAGTAATTTGTATAATAATTTTATACATGCATTTAATTTGTATAATACAATTTTATTTCACATTTAGATTTTAGCGATGTTAGCTGCTCTTTGGATTCTTATCTTGATCAGTACATCGTGCTACGGCCTAGATAATGGCCTTGCTAAAACTCCACCAATGGGATGGCTTTCGTGGGAAA